AAGTTATAAAATGAGGACTTTTTGTGCCTTATTGGTTAATAGCTACTTGATAGACCTTGAAAGCAAAGGATGCAAGTTTACTTGGGATAACCATAAAGAGTTANCTGCACAGACTAAGGGGCAGAGCCAGTTATAAAATGAGGACTTTTTGTGCTTTCTTGGTTAATAGCTACTTGATAGACCTTGAAAGCAAAGGATGCAAGTTTACTTGGGATAACCATAAAGAGTTATTGGCTAATGTAAAGGAAATGTTTGACAGAGCTCTGACCACTCCCACTTGGAGATTACTGTTCCCAGAGCCAATTGTCACACTCCCCCCCCACCCAAAAAAAAAAGTAAGGTGTGACCATTCTCCACTAATCCTACCCTTAAATGGGAAAGCCAAAGAGGTCCTTCAAGTTTGAGGCATATTGGGCAGATGAGGAGCAGTGTTCTGATGTCATCAAACATGGCTGAGAGAAATCAATTTATGGGTCAAGAATGTACAGACTATAGCAAAAATTGAAAACCTATGGAAAATATCTAAAGGCATGGAGCTCCACACACACCTCAAATATTAGAAGGCTGAGACTCTTAAAGCTAAGCTAATGCACTTAAAAAACCACCGCTACCCAAATGTGCCTCATGCTGAGATAGAATAAGTCTAACAAGAATTAGGGAAGGTATGGCAAAAGGAAGAAAAGTACTAGAGCCCAAGCTCAAGACTAAAAGGGGTGATATGGGGAGACAAGAACACAAGCTTTTTCCATGCCATTACCATCCAAAAAAGGCAAAGAAATGGAATAATAATGAATAAGGACTATAATAGTGAATGGGTTACTGACAAAGACCTTATTATCTCCCTACTGCAAGAGCATTACCAAAATATGTTGTCATCAAAATGGCAGAGGAGCTATGACCACATCATTCAGGAGGCCCCAACACTAGTTACACACCAGATGAATTAGGAACTCATCAGGATGCCCACGCCAGAAGAAGCTAAATGTGTAACTTTCTGCCTTGGATCACTAAAAGCCCCATGACCGGATGGCCTCTATGGTCTTTTCTATCAGAAATTTTAGCACATCATTAAAGTTGAGGTATTCAATGTCTTTCTTTCAGTCTGGGTTTTTACTCAAAGAACTTGGTGAGACTAATATAACACTAATCCCAAAGGCCCCGAATCCTGAACAGGTTAAGGAGTATAGACCTATCAGCTAGGGATGACAGTGAATCAGATAAAAATGGGTATTCGTCCAAACTTGTCCCGTTTGAACCGGGGATAAACTATACGTATTGGATGAGATGTATACGAGGATACCCGTGCGGGAATGGACTAACAGTTACCCCCGCCTNTGGTGAGACTAATATAACACTAATCCCAAAGGCCCCGAATCCTGAACAGGTTAAGGAGTATAGACCTATCAACTAGGGATGACAGTGAATTAGATAAAAATGGGTATTCGTCCAAACTTGTCCCGTTTGGACCGGGGATAAACTATACGTATTGGATGAGATGTATATGAGGATACCCGTATAAACCCGTCGGGAATGGACTAACAGTTACCCCCGCCTCGCCCAGCTTTACCTGTTATATATATATATATACATACATGTTGCTATGAATACAAATCTACATATTATTAAATAACTTTTTCTTTAGGAAATTGTTTTGTTTTTTGATTTTTTTTATGGTTTTAGCTTGTTAAAATGTAGATCTTTGTGTTTTTATATTNATATACATACATACATGTTGCTATGAATACAAATCTACATATTATTAAATAACTTTTTCTTTAGGAAATTGTTTTGTTTTTTGATTTTTTTTTATGGTTTTAGCTTGTTAAAATGTAGATCTTTGTGTTTTTATATTTTTTTTTATGTAAGATTATGTTATGTTATATTATATTGTGTTGCATGATATTATATTGGATTTACAAGGGAGACAAATTTTTAATTATATTATGTTAGATTATGTTATAGACAAGATTTTAATTATATTATGTTGTAAATGACAAATTTTTAATTATGTTATGATANTTATGGTTTTAGCTTGTTAAAATGTAGATCTTTGTGTTTTTATATTTTTTTTTTATGTAAGATTATGTTATGTTATATTATATTGTGTTGCATGATATTATATTGGATTTACAAGGGAGACAAATTTTTAATTATATTATGTTAGATTATGTTATAGACAAGATTTTAATTATATTATGTTGTAAATGACAAATTTTTAATTATGTTATGATATTTTATAATTATGTTGGATTATTTAGAATGTTAAATTTATTTAGAATTTTAGATTATGTTGACTTAAACTTGAGCTCTGGGCTTGGGCGGGTAAGGTGGACGGGGTTGGGGGCGGAGGTGATGGCGGGGGACGAAGAGGGGGCGGGGATTACAAATTTATCCGCGGACGGAGATGAGGATGAAATCTATACTCGTTAACGGCGGTGGACCGGAGATGGATGGAGTTTTTTAAGCGGGTACAGGGATGGAGACTACACCCGGCCCCGCTTCCGTCCGCTGTCATCCTTACTATCAGCTGTAATTTTAGCTATAAAATCATATCAAAGTTGTTAGCCTCCAGACTGAAAGTGGTCATGCCTCGGTCTCATAAAACCATAGTGCATTTGTAAGGGGAAGGCTAACACAAGATAACATAATTATAGCCCATAAAGCCCTGCACTCAATGTGGCAATGGAGAAACACTAGAAAAATACCAAATGACTATTAAGCTAGATATGTCAAAAGCGTGTGACTGGTTTGAGTGGAATTTCTTGAAGAGCCTGCTTTTTGTCTTGCTTCCTGAGTAGTATTTAGCCCAGAGACTTGTTGAATGGTGTTATTGGCAAATAGGTGATGAAAGTCAAGTGGATGTTTGGGAAGGCAGCTGGGTCCCAGGTTACAAACAGTAACAGAAACCAAAGCAACAAATCAAAAGTCCAAGAGTTGATACTTACTTCCCCATGAACTAGGAACTCCACCTTGTTTCACTATACCTTTCCAAATGAAATAGCCAAAGTCATCATGACTATCCCCTAAGTGAAACTCAGCAAGCATTCAGATGGGCTTACACAAGAACTGGCCATCATGTAGTTATGAATGGATATCATTTACAACTAAAACACAAAAGGAGTAACCACAGGACTACAGGGGCTTCATCATCATATAAGGTGCCTGAGGGGCTTTGGAAATTGATTTGCCAAATACCAAAAACCCCAAAGGTAAAGACCTTTATGTGGAAAGTAGTAAATGGAGCTCTTGCGACTAAATAATACCTATGGAGAAGAAAATTGGCAAACAATCCTCTGTGCCCTATCTGTGGTATTGAGGATTGTGCCCTATACTTACTTCCCCATGAACTAGGAACTCCACCTTGTTTCACTATACCTTTCCAAATGAAATAGCCAAAGTCATCATGACTATCCCCTAAGTGAAACTCAACAAGCATTCAGATGGGCTTACGCAAGAACTGGCCATCATGTAGTTAGGAATGGATATCATTTACAACTAAAACACAAAAGGAGTAACCACAGGACTACAGGGGCTTCATCATCATATAAGGTGTCTGAGGGGCTTTGGAAATTGATTTGCCAAATACCAAAAACCCCAAAGGTAAAGACCTTTATGTGGAAAGTAGTAAATGGAGCTCTTGCAACTAAATAATACCTATGGAGAAGAAAATTGGCAAACAATCCTCTGTGCCCTATATGTGGTATTGAGGAGGAAACTATAGAGCATGTGCTCCTGCTATTTCTCTGGGCTGACTATGTATGGCAATCTTGACTACTGGCCATCTTTATAGACAAATTTGAGGTAAATAGAACTGAAAACGGCTAACGACTCAACTTAAGCTTTAGAAGAACAATGGAACAAATGAAGGCTCCTCTATTCTGGCTTTCCTATGTTGCTCTATTTGGAAAGCTAGAAATAAGTGGGTATATCAACATAAGAGACCTAATGCCAATTATGTTGATCAAGCATTGATGGTAACTGCTGAAGCCAGCCCCCAGAAAAGCAGTCAAGGTTGGGAGGAGCTCAAGCAACACAACAGAATATCTGGATACCACCTCCATGAGGATGGATCAAGATAAACTGCAATGAAGCAGTCATTGTGGAAAAGCATGATGGTGCCTATGGAACTGTAGCCCGAGATCATGAGGGTAGCCTTATCCGAGGAGCAACAAAACCTGTAATGACTGCATCAGCTATCATCTCTGAAGCTATGCCAGTGAGAGCAGCCAGCAAAATGGCAATTGAAGAAGGATATCAAGCTGTCATTGTGGAAACAAATTCAAAGGCTCCCATAGACTCAATTGGCAAGAATTCTGAAGCTACACTAAGAGAGATTGAACACATCCAACATGATATACTGCACTATGCTCAACAAATACCTCAGATCCACTTCAAAGCTATCATAAGAGAAGCCAATATGGTAGCACATGTGGTGCCAACTCAGTCTAGAGAAGGACTTTTATCTGCTCAGTAGAGGCCACATCCACCCTCAATTCTGAACCAACTGCTATGTGCTGAAGCAAGAGTTGGGATAGGCTAATGACCATTCCATGTATCAATACAGTCTATTGACAGAGTTCTTCAATGAAAATTCAGTTTTCACACTTGAAAAAAACAAAGAGTTTACAAAAGTCAAATGTACATAACATTATCTTGCTTATAATAGAAGCTGTTTTCATAATTCGAATTTATGATATCTAAATCACAATACAAGAACTTTCCACAAATTTTTATTGGTACGCAAAAAATCAAGAAACAGAATCTGTGATCAGGGAATCAAGTCCCTACTTGCGCAACAAAATGTCTCCATTACACAGACATTTGGAAGCCAGAAGGATTGAATACAGTCCCACAACACACGAGGTAAGACTAGACCGGCTTTTACAATATCATGCATTGACGAAAGCCTCATGCACAAAACTATCCTTTCCTAAGACTGCACTAATTTGGTTAATAACTTAAAGCGAAGCCCAAAAAAAAAAATGAGCATGTAAAACAGTGCACAAGAACTTACTCATGTCATGCACTTCCACCAAATATTTTTCGATAGAATTCAAGTACTTTTGACAGACAGAAACCCATCAAAAGTTCAAAACTAACATGTCAATTGAGATTCCGATCTGGTTTCAGGCACACAGGCAAACTGAAGCTTAAATTGTGAAATCAAACCCTATGCACAACCACCTACAAGTAAAATTGAGGCATCAAACCTGTGGCGGATTTGCAACTAAGCACCCAATAAATCCTTTATTCAAAGACAATTTGTCACTATAACCATCAAGATCTATTGTTGCTTGCCTAAAGCAGTCCATCACTCCATGGTGGCGAATCAATATTGCATCCCTATGACAAACAGCGTACTTCCCGTTTTGCGGAAAAAATGGACCGATGCGGGGAAGCATATTTTTAAGAATCACTGACTTGTTTCAGTGTAGGCATTGAGGTTCCTGCTAAGAAAGACTTCAACAGGGTAAGAGCTTGTTTGGGCCTATGCAGAGGGACTTCATGGCCAGCTCCTCTCACAGTAACAAAATTTAGTCCTTTGTACTCCTGGGTCCATCCGCCCACCTGTTAAAGCATCATATTATGGTGTAGTGATTACTTGTACATCATAATAGCATCAAGTCATACATCATGTAGCTTTCTAAGCCAGCAGTCGAGGCTGATGAAACAATGGTGTTGTGATTATGCTTATGTACATGGAAAATGAACAAATTCAATGGCAAAAAACAAACCCGTAGCACCTGGCCATCATCGTACCAAGCACGCCAAGGACTCACAGTTGGAAGTCCGAGAGCATCTATACTGTACCGGGTAGATGTAACTGGAAGTACAGAATCTGTATCACCGCTGTCATAAAGAAAGGGGAANGTACCTGGCCATCATCGTACCAAGCACGCCAAGGACTCACAGTTGGAAGTCCGAGAGCATCTATACTGTACCGCGTAGATGTAACTGGAAGTACAGAATCTGTATCACCGCTGTCATAAAGAAAGGGGAAAAACTAGTATTAAGTTATGAACTTATTACTTTATAAATCTGTCCACAGCTGCTAGATGAATGATTTCCCAAATTGTACATTGAGTGGAAAGTGGTTATTATAAGGTAGTTGGACTGATGAGTCTCCAATAGTGATGCAAAATACCTTGTTTACATTAAGTAAAGTCACAGGAATAAATTAAAAAATAAGAAAACTGGTCCTATCAACTATCCTCTATACAGGAATTCCTTCTTTGGTCCCCTAATATGATTAATCTGAGACAAGGAAACTTTATCAACAAAGCTCAAAGAAACCTGCTAAGAAAACAAATACCAGGAATGTCTTCAAAAAAAAATACCAAAGAAGAAAATAAAAAAGGAAAACCCAACAACTGATGCTCTCAAGCACACAGGCATACTTGTTTCAATTTAATTCTATCAGGGGAAAAAAAACATGCATGTGACTGGTGGTACTTTGACGGAAATGCATGAGAAAGCTAAAGAGGGAAAATATATTGTGCAGGAAACTAAAGAAAAGTAATGCCAAGTCTCAAACGAAACCTGAATACCCAGATACGAAGTCCTGAATGTATAAGCTCGTGATAGATGTCCAGCACGGAACTAGGAGAATCCTTCCAATTAGAATTTATCTCCTCACTGCAAACAATTACAAAGTATGGAATATCATGGAAAAAGAAGACCCGGTTCAATTAATCAGTGGGGTTTAAGTGGGTCCATTCAAACGCCATCCACTGATAGGCAATATATATACCTCAAATTTTATATAAAGAATCAATGAAAAATAGATGTATGATATCACATATGATGTGCATTACATAAATAGATTAACACCCCTAAGTGACATGTAAAGAAATCAATGTCTCCAACATATTCTCATTGTTAGGATACGTGATATTTTTCACAAAATGTGAGCAAGTGTTCTAATTGGATGGCTGCTGATGAAATGTATTAGTTGAAAATAAGAAGAACAATATCACACTTTCACTAGGTGTTGTTTTCAAGGCTGCTCTTCCACAAAAGGAATAATATCAAAGTACCAGATACGCATGTCTATGTAATGAACTTTCAACAATAAGCTGTAACAGTTTATTCCCATGGGAAGCTACCAGGCCGTAATGACCACTTCTGCCATGCTGGTCAATATTTTACTCCTCAAGTCAAAACTACTAGTTAAATCATCAACGAAATCAAGGACTTAGTTCTACTATAGATTTCAGCCAGCCAATCAAACCTCATGAGCCATTTACATCACTGTCCTCATTACATTAGTATGCATACAAAGGTGATAATGCCATAAGGATCTTAAATCTTGAAATAGACCTACCTGCATGTTACCCACTTAGATGGAGCATGCATTTCATCAACGTGAAGAGCCTTTTGAACCTCAAGCCAATTGAAATACACAGTTGAGTGCTCTTCGGTGCATGGATCATACTTCTGGCTGATGTGGCCAACCTTCTATCAGATGCAATATATTTAGTCAATGATCTTTCTGTCAGATGCAATACAATTATTCAATGATATGAACAGAAAAACATTCCAAATGCCATGGCTACATCTGTAGAAGCCTTCCAGGAGAACAAGCATCTATACTTCTATATTTGATTATGGCACATTAGAGATCAACATGACAAATCCGTTAACAAAAATACAAGCCTTCCAGGAGAACAAGATTCTAAACTTCCATTTTTTTGATTTATTATTGCAAACTTGAGATCAACATGTCAAATCGATTAATAAAACTACAATGCTTCAAGGAGATGAAAATTCTATACTTCATTTTTTTTTATGTTTAAACAAAATGTGCAGAAGTTTCATGATATCTCAGTGCTTTCCTAGCATGACTGATACAATATCTCAGATTCTCAACACATGTTTGGGAGAAAAAAAATGACGACATGCACACTTTAGTTGCCAGCTAAAATCATCAACCAAGAATGTATGGTAGGTTGCAAAAAGGGAAAATAATGATTCAATATCCATCTTGTTTGTGTTGAAGTCTTTAATATAATATCTTGTGATCCTAGCAGTGAATAATATGTTCATAGTAATGAAAACCAATAAGGCCAATGAACCCTAGTGGGACTAGAGGTCCAGATGATAGTTTCAAGGACAATGGACTATATGAGTTCGAGAATGAGGAGACCGAAAAGAGAGTTTCCGGGCATGAGACTCTTTCCTTTCTTTGATTGATGGTCTTTCTTGTGGCCTTTGCTTAGTGAGGTCGGGCTCATGATTATGAGATCTCTACTCACTGAAGCTGGAGTAAAACTTTTTCACTCGTCAGTGAGTAAAACTTTTTTACTCGTCAGTGTTTTTGCTTGTGAGTTTGATGATAATTCTTTAGGATAAGACCATCCTACCACCTCAGCCTTGAATCCAATTCATCGAACAAAATGTGTTATTTGTTTTGCCATGCTATGGCCTTCTTGACAAGGTATCAGTATGGGACAAGTCTGACATGTCTAACAGCACATACGCTAACAAGTGTCTAGTAATTGACACATGTGTAATACCATTTATAACTTTCTTACTTTGTCCCGTGTGTTACGTTACTGCAAAAGAATAGCAAGTGCACATGCTTAACATGATGTAGCATATAGACAACATTCTACCCCAGAACTAAAAACTAATATTCAAACTGTTGTAAATTTAGTCTTCTCCATATGCCCTGGATTGGGGTATTTGGTAAATTGGACACCTTGACAAATAACCACATCTCCAGAGAGACTGAGACAGAGGACGACTAACTTCCTGCGGAATTTTCCCTGAGCTCCTTAAGGAGCTCTCTGAGAAACTAAGAAATCTTTAGTTGGCAAAAATGGATAATGGAGGGAGAGTTCAAAATATATCATAATTTTTTTGCAAATGGCAGAAATTAAAAGCATTTCGTAACGATTAACATTGTATGAACCGTCCAATTTTTTTTGGAACCAGTGAACCACTGGAAAAGTGTAATGAATGTCCAAATGCGAATCACTCAATTTACAGCAAAAGTAAGAGCCTATACTGTACTCGTAGACTAGATTGTGGTGGTTGTGTTTACTTACATGCCATCTTTTCAATAGCTGATTTGATATTCTAAAATTAGCATTGCAGGGTGGAGTAAAAATGCTATAAGGGTCAATTTCCCCAAGTTCTTCGCTAGCAATGTCTAGAATCTTATCACAATTCTCTGAGGTGTGTATAAATGATTGGAAATCGCAGAAAACATTCAGCTGCTTGTAAGTTTGATCAGAAATCATTCCAGCTGACCACATAAATTGGAAAATTCCCAAGTGGTCATAATGATCATCAATCAAAGCATTTCCCACCTGCAACAAATATGCTGATTTTGTAAATTAATCCTCATAATGCACAGCAACCATTTATCCATAACAATGAAAGATAAGTCCATACCATGTAACCCTTTAAGTTGATTAGTTTTTCCTTTTTCACCCTGGTGTGCCTTACAATGGCCTGGCTAAGCTGAGGAACATAATGTCCTGGAATACAGTATAAAATAATCATAAAGATGATAGTACACCTACTACACCATCAAGTCAGAATGAGAGCGTTGGGGGCCTGCAGGGGCTTGTGCATGGGTCCCTTGTGCTCCATGAACATTAAACTCTTTAGTCCTCCCTTCTTTAATGTGCCTTGCCTAAACCGCTTTTAAGAAGAGAACCGGTTCAGTTAATATAAGTTCCAAATCGAAGGAACAGAATATCCTTTTTCCGGAGTTAAAGTTAATTTTTCAAAATTTAACCTAATGTTTTTTCTTCAAACTAGAAAAGAAAAGGGAAAACAGAGAAATAACACTGTTATTCTCGCCTCGTCAAGCAACGAATGAGGTTTCCCTCTATGGAGATAGTTACAACTTACAAGCATCACTTAGTTTTTGCAAGAATCATGAAAACTGTAGCCTCAGAGCATGGCATTCCTCCCAAGTTTATCAGGAAGATGTCTCCCATGACCTTTCCAGGTTAGAAGTTGTTGAGGACTGAACTAGTGGAGAGACTAATATTTCCTCAAAAATAATGCCCATCGTCAACAAGCANACTGGAGATCAGGAAGATGTCTCCCATGACCTTTCCAGGTTAGAAGTTGTTGAGGACTGAACTAGTGGAGAGACTAATATTTCCTCAAAAATAATGCCCATCGTCAACAAGCATACTGATAATTTTCGTGTCAGAGCTTGAGACGACTTTTGTTTTATCCATATATCTTTAATATCAGATCAATAAGGGTCCCTATACTGTTCAAGCCCATTTAGCACATTAAATTTATAGTAGCTAGCCATACATTATTTTCTTTTTGACCTCAGGAAGAAGTGCTGCACATGAACTGATACATGCTCCAGTCTATGTATCTTATCACTCAAAATATGTAAATTAGCATGGTCATGCCAGAATCTAATAAACTCTAAGATTTTGACCTCTGTACTTGAATAGGGAGTATTGAGACAGAAAAAGTTTCTTTCATTCTTGGATTAAGAAATAAACGCGTACTATTCTACCTGCATAGCTCTCTCCCGTGATATAAAAGTCCCTTCCTTTATACNACCTCAGGAAGAAGTGCTGCACATGAACTGATACATGCTCCAGTCTATGTATCTTATCGCTCGAAATATGAAAATTAGCATGGTCATGCCAGAATCTAATAAACTCTTAAGATTTTGACCTCTGTACTTGAATAGGGAGTATTGAGACAGAAAAAGTTTCTTCCATTCTTGGATTAAGAAATAAACGAGTACTATTCTACCTGCATAGCTCTCTCCCGTGATATAAAAGTCCCTTCCTTTATACTGAGGAAAACATTCAAACCACTTCAACAAAAATGCTAGCGAATCAGCAGCTGCAAAACAAAGGATGAGAAGGTGAAGNACTGAGGAAAACATTCAAACCACTTCAACAAAAATGCTAGCGAATCAGCAGCTGCAAAACAAAGGATGAGAAGGTGAAGGTGAATGTTCATGGAAACAATGATATATTGCATCCGAAGCAGGATTATGAAGTGGTACCAGTTCTTTTATCTCCATTGTTCAGATGATCAGAGGAGATGTTTGAATACGAGTAACCAACACCAACCGGGGAGTCAAGAAATAGTATATTAGCGACTGCAAAAAGTAAAGTAAACTTATTTGACAATAGTGTTCATACAGAGGAATACAACTATCATTCTGATTCTGGGTTGAACCCAACAACAGGGAACAACTAAAGCATCATGTGTGACATAGCTGGCACAGCTGTGAGCAGCAAGGTTGCCTTGTCACCCTTAATTTCCCAACCCTGCTCCGTAACAAGTTGCTTAGATTATGGAAAGAACCAAAACAAATGAACAAAATATAGAGGATATGTACTACATACATAACACAATGCAGATTTGAACCATATTTTTTTGCCACTCATCTCATAGAGTATTGATAGACAAATAGAAGAGACGCTAATGAGTTGTGCATTCAAGATAAGGGAAAATAGTAAATAGCATGCTTGAACAGAGTTTTAGTCCATAGATGGCATGCGGAGACTACAATCTACTAGGGTGATCTGAATGTTAAGCAGTGACATGATGAACTAGCTCCAAGTTCTCCAACAGTTAGCAAACTATAATCATTTTCCATATTTTTAATGATACTCAAAATAACAGAATAGGCAGCGCCTATTCAATGGTTGTCAATTGTCAAATGACAAAGAAAAACCAAGGCCATGGACCTACTCTACTGCTAGTCCAAGCTAACAGGTAAATATTCCTCAAGTAGGATGTAAATGGTTTTCTATTGATGTAAATAACTGCCAATGCATTGCACTCCCATTATTGTGGGGTTTAGAGAGGATCAAATGCTCATAGTCTTACACCACATGAGAAAAGGTTGTTCACATGACTTGAATTTGTGACACCCACATCACACTAAAGTACACTAACTGTTTGAACCAAGGTCTACCCTCGTGGCCAAGATTACAATCATATTGGCTCTACATATAAGTTGAATATGATAAGTCAAACAAGTTGGATGACAATATATGCTAATCGGACGAGGTTGCCTTTAATGCCAATAATCAATACAGTTCATCATAGGAAGTTAATCCATATGCTATTCCTCCGACTCTTGGGTCATAAAAGAGGCACAAGTTGGTTTATTGCAGTTGTCTTGATTCATTCAATTTTAAATCACCTCTCTTGCAAAAATTGAAGGAGAGCAAGTACCTTGATTCCAAGAATACGGGTTCAAATAAAGAGTCTTCCCATCTTTTTCAATGTGAAAAGGTCCAATTTCCTCAGCCTCTCCGTATGCAATTGATGAACATCCAGGCCCTAAAGAAACAAGTTTTGGGTCAGAAACCTTCTCGCAAAACCAGATAAATTGATATATAGANTTTTCAATGGATAATATAGCTAATCCATTTAATATTTCTTGTAACATATTTAATCGGAGATAATGTTTTATTAATTTAAATTTTGAAAAACATTTTTTTGTCAAAACAACCGTTACTCGTATTGTTAACAATATTCTAAAAGCTATACATGCATTTGGAAAAAAATCTAATCATTTTATATAATTTAGGGTTTCTGTTGGACTATAAATTTCAGATTGTAAGACTTTTCTTAATACAGTAAATTCTTGAAATAAATCTAAACCATCAATATCAGAAAATAAATCATGCTTCAAAAAATTTTCAAGGTTAAGACAATAACTTTTTAAAATATCATCTAAGGATTTTAATTTTTTAAAACAAAATAAAAAACCAAAAAGATTTTCATATATTTTGAATTGTTCAAATCTATTCTTGATCAAAGAAATAGCTAGATCAACTATAAGTAAAAAATACTCAATTCTAAAATATTCTTCAGCCAATAGTGTTACTGCTTTCTCAATTTAAGACAAGAGAGATGTTAAGAGATAAACATTAAGAAAGACGTTAAAAGACAAAGAAATGTTAAGAGATAGACATTACTAGTCATATCTATCTTCCTTGTTGCAGAAGTCTATCAGTCTTCTATAGTTAGCAAGAAGTCTAGCAATCTATTATAGTTGACAAGTGGAGCAATTTCTAGGTAAGTAAAATTTGGACCCTCTCAAATCAGCTCATCCAAAAATATATTTATCCAAAACTAAAATTCCTACTTGGGGGCCCCAAAATTTTACAAAAACTGGAGGTCCTAGGTAGCCAATTAAGTGGCCTAGGCCTAGGGCCGGCCCTGGCGGAGAGAGAAAGAGAGAGATTTCTAGGCTGAAATGTTTTCAGGTGATTTTTTTTGGGGGGGTTCGGATGAGTATGGGTGTGTGTCTGATGTGTGTTGTGTATGACATGTGTTGTGTTTTGTGAATAAGAGGAAGAACAGAGAAGAGAGGAGAGAGAATAAGACTAATCTTGGAGAGTGAGAGGGTCTCCGGANAGCATTAAGGGAGGATTACTAACTGAAATATTAACGACATCATAGTGATTAAACCAGCTTCGTAAAGAACAACTTTTCTGGAAAAAATTACAAATTAGAACATAAAGAAATCATTGCTCATTATTAAGCCATTAGGACAAGATTCAAAAAACACCAAACAAGACAATAATGATAAAGGCAAAAGCAAAAGCATAAATCAGATATTTCTATGTGGGAAAGATTGACCTCCATTGAGCCAAAGAACGAGAGGCTTGGAAGAAGGGTCCTCAGTAGCCTCAAAGAACCAATAGAACAGAGCTCTCCCACCTTCCTCGTTGACTGTGATGTACCCAGCATAGTGTGCAAAGCTCACATCAAAGGTTTGACCAGGCAGCTCTGAAACTCTGTCCAGCTTTTGCTGGGCACTTGGGTCTGAAGATGAACTTGAGTAACAACTACCCACATGAAGCTTTGTGATGAAAATGAAGATAGTAAGCACAAAGCCCCATTTCAGATTTGACATTTCTTAGGGCTTTCTTGTAGGTGTGGTGGTGAAGTCTATTGAGCTAATGGATATTGGGTGTCGTAATGTGTGTGTGTTTGTTAAGGATTCAGGGATGGAGGTTTTGGGGTCAACGATGATGGCTAAAGAACTGTTTGCTGACACAATCATTGAACTGATTGAACGGTTTGCTGACAACAGCGATGGATTTTCTTTTCTTTTTGTTTTTTTCTTGTTCTTGATTTTTAGTCTTTTTATAAAACAATAAAAAAAAAAATACTATTTGTAACATCTAATTCTTTATCGTTATTAAATTAAAAGTGCCTTTCACTTAAAATTAAAATTTATAATTATTTTAATATAATTATTAAATTAGTTAGTTAATTAGATTGAGTTTACCATTTAACAGATGTGGTGCACCATGGGTCTAGTCATCGGACCACTGATTGGTCAAATGGCTTGGTTGGTCCATTCAGAAATCCCATGGCCCATGTCTTGTTTATTGAGTTATTTGAAAGTGGATATACGAAATTAAATTTAATTGTCAATATTTTGTTAAAAAATCCATTTAAGATATAGAATGACTTGAATACCTTTTTATTGTAAATAAGTTTCCTAAAAACGATTTTGAAAACTAACCGCAATTTAATTATCTCCACATTATCCGATGTGTTTATCTCCCACGCCTCTACATTTCTATACATATATACTAATAATTGTCCGAGCCAAAAGACACGGAATAAAAATATATATATTTTTAATTAAAAGACATAGAAAATAAAAGAGTGCTAAGGACATTAAAGAACAACAAAAAACAACAAACTCGTCTTTGAAAGTACTATGAAACAAAAAAAATTAAAAATTGTTAAAATTGAGCATTTCATGTATTTAATGGCGGTTTATTTTTTAAAATGTCACGAAACACCTTCATTAACACATAGAAATGTCCAAAATTTGTCATTTGATTCATGATTAATTGTAATTTCAAGTTTGGTGGTGGTGGCGGTGGCGAAGGTGACCAATAAAGTTTCCGCAAACTTTATCAAGAAAATTCAAAAATGACAAAAGAAATATTTAGTAACAAATCTATGATAGGTTTCACCATTCTAACAACTGTGTGCCAAAAAATCTATTGGCCTAAGATACTATTTTTAGGACTCCATTCATATATAAATTTAAAAAGGTCATTAAGCTAAAAAGAAATTAGTAAAACATTATTTTGCATACACTCGGTATTGTTGTAGATTGGTCCTTGTAGCAAATGATATTGAAGTGACTGCATATCTGCAAAATGACACATGCACGCACATGTTGATGTGTGGGTGAGTGAAACAACATTTTCTTAACTGCTCAGCAAAAGATAGTGAGAAGAAGATCTCTATTATTTCAAATGTTGCTGAACCAGCCCACCTTCATTCCCAGAGGTTTGGCATGTTTTTAGGAATAATTTAATAATTTTTTTGTACATAAAGATATTGGGAGAGGAAATTCTAAAAAATTACAACCCTTAAAATTTTCCTCAAAAAACTAAAATCCTTATAATCCTTAAATTTTCGGTCGATAGAAACCACAAAATCTACAATTTTTTTATGTTAGTACACCACCCATATTTCCTAAAATCCTCAAAAGTGTTATCGGTCATTTAGAGTTTCTTCCATCGACGACTTGTCATCCAAGAAATGGAACATAGATGTTGTTTCCATCTTAGAGCTTGGAGCTTGGCAAATACTACTAAAAATTTACCAAAAAATAGAACAATAATAAAATAAGAGTACCATAAAATACGAAGATAATAGCAAAAAATCAACAATGAACCCAAAAAAACTCAAACAAAAGAATGGTCAAGAAATTTTCAAACAATATGTACAAAAATGAGATCTTACTTGGAAATAGGTTCATAAGTATGAAATTCAATTTAAAAGTGGTAAAAATACATAATTACGATCAAAACCGAAGCAACACTAAATTTAGAACCCCACTTTCTCTTTTACCACTTTGAAAACGTGACTTTCTCAGCTACCAAATTCATACCCGATTTCATTTCAATATTCCTAATACTGCCCACTATATATTTTTATCATAAATAGGAGCCCACAAAAATTTCAGATTGTATACACAATACATATATTTTACCTCCATATCCGAAAAGGCTAGTAATTTTATCAACTGCCAATCAACGAATCCACTAACCGTGGCAGCAAAGAATATCTTATATTCAAAATCTGTGGCATAGTCATAGCAAGTGACTCGGTGAACCCTTACCAAATAAAAAAACAGCTCAAAAAAAATTAAAAATGCAGCAACAACTTGAAGAAAAAAACAGTAATTTGAGGATTACTCACACAGTTGAACTTGAATTCGAGGCCTCCATGTTGTGGTTAGGCATATTTTGGTCTTCATCACTTGATGTCAATCAAAATTCAGCCATGGAACTAATAGAGAAGATATTAGGCATGTGTATCCCAACAAATGTATGAATCATTTACAAAAACAATATGTACTATTAAGAACATGTCTTGAAGTAAATACTAATATGTCAGCTACACACGTTCTTGAGTATCT